TTTTTTTTTTTTTTTTTTGTATAAACATGTGGTAGTATAGGTTTTATATGCATGATTGTGAGTCGATGACCATATATGGGTAATCATCAGTTATAGGATTTACCTGAGGACTTGAAATAAGAGTCAATAAGCCGAGAAATCATCAGTTAGAGACCAATATTTCATGAACTTAGGTTAACAGCTATAATAGCTAATCAACGAGTAGATTATGGAGGATTGACATAAGAGTAATTAGCCGGGTCTACCTGAAGCCTTGAAGTTGGGATGTTATCAGTCAACGGTGAGACGATTGATTATGTTCATATGATTGCTATCATATATGTGCTTATATTGATTCGATGCATAGTATAAACTTAACCACTGTGCCAAGAGGATGACCTCACCCCTTTGTTTTTCAGGTCAATCAGCTGATGATGGACGCGAGAGGACGGGCGTGATCATCAACTTTTTATGTTTTATGCTTCCGCTAAATTTTTATGAAAATCATTATTAGGTGAATGTTTTAGACTTCCAAATATTTTGAACTATGTTGTATATTCCAAATTTTTATTGTTAGAAATGTTCTGATTATGCTACGACATGAGTAGGGAAAAGTGTTCTCTAGTAATGTCTGAAGGTTAATTTTTGAAAATATTTTAGAAAAGGTTCAAATTATTTCTGAAAGATCTTGTCTTTCCTCAAATAAATAAGCGAGCATTACGGTCCCCAACAGCCACCAAGCCGACCTTGGCCGAGTCGCAGTTAGGTGACCCTTTACTGCCCTTTCTAGGTCCTTGTGCGTGAAGTGGTCGCTTCCAGCCCCAGTCGTGGGAGTCCGTTTATTCTATGGAAGTTCGGTCCTGCACGCCTTGTTGATCACCTTTGAAACTTCTGCTCGGTCGCGCCCAACCATGGTGGACTGTTTCTTGTTGCCGCTAGTCCCACGAGCTGATCCGCTCGGCGGAGAGCAGTCATCCGTAGTGCCTCCTCGAATACTTGCTCGGGCCCTCCGGTGAGTTCTTGGCAACTCCATTATCCTCTCCCGACATTGAAGTTCTTCATAATCCAGATCTAGACTAAAAATCCATCTAGGCGGTTGAGTTTCTGTTGTTTTTGGCTTAGATGTCTAGTTTGGTTGCTCGATTGGCGTTCTTTGTCGTGGGTGTAACTCGATAGTCAGTTTAGGTGGTTGTGGGGTTTTTTTTTTTTTGTCGAAACGGCAGGGCAATTATATATAAAAAGCGAACAAAGTTCGAATACAAACCAACCTACAAAGATAAAACTGAGAGGACACGCATTAAGCGGCCTAGAACCTCAACTCAAACCGACAAACAAAGCCAAGAAAAGCAACACCATCCACTGCCAAAGGCCTAGAGGTGAAAAAGGAAAAAACAACCAACCTAAAAAAATACAAGCAACAAACCAAAACCCAAAAAGAAAAACACACCAAAACAAAGAAAACAAGGAAACAACTTAGGATTTAAGGGAAAGGAAGTCAGTCCAGTCTTGGTGGGCAGCTTTCAAAGTGGTCTGGATTGGCATGAGCAAGTTTTGAAAGATGTAGAGATTGCGGGTCTTCCAGAGCCACCAAAGGATATAGGTAGTGAGTTGAATCCTAGCCTCTGATGTCTCGGAATTCCCTATAGAGCATATAGTCTTCCACCAGCAGCTAAAGGAGGAATCATGAGAAGGCTGCATATTCCAAGAGACTGGAGCAATACTCCACAGTTTTGTAGCTCTACTGCAGTGAAAGAGTACATGAGAGATAGTTTCTGGGAACTCACCATAAATACTACAAATCACATCAATATTAAGTCCTTTCTTCTTCAGATTGGTCTTGACTGGAAGGGCTTCAGCCATGCATTTCCAAACAAAAATTTTAATCTTGTTAACAGTGTTGAGCTTCCACAACCGTTTTCTGATCTGGGAGTTGGAATTGACAGCCACTGAACTACTGCAAGGAATATCCAAGGACAGAAGCTTCTGCTGGGATAGAAAAGCATAGGTATTGGAGACTGTGAACATCCCATTCTTATTGAGCTTCCAGTAGAATCTATCTTGCTTTCCAGGGTTAAGAGATTTGATATTCAGAATAGCTTTGCAGTCTTGCTCAGAGAAGATTTGGTTGAGGAGCCAAGAATTCCACTCCAACCCTGATTCAGAGATGAGCTATCTAACCCAGGTTAAATGACCCCTGGCTATGTCAATCATCAAAGGCTTGGGGTGAGAAATA